TGCCCCAGCCCAGCTGCTGACAGGGACCCGGGGGGGAGCTGCGCAGGGGGCTCTGGGAGCTGGGGGTGGCTTGAGCTGGCCCCGTCATGTGCGGGCGTGGCTGGCACGTCCTGCTCTGGGCCTGGTGCCAAGTCCTCTGCTCTCGAGCGCTTGGCAGCAGCACGTCTGCTAAGCCCTCGCTCGTGCCAACCCTGGCCCAGTGGCTGGGGTCCAGGGTTCAGATTGGCATGGGGAGCCTGGATTTAAAACCCGATCCCTGTACAGCGCCATCTCTCTATCCCCCAACTCGGTGACATGTGAGCCCCTGCGGGAGGCACCCACCCATGCCAACGACTCTGAGCCTGACCGATGTCCGGCTCGTTTCCCAGCCTGGATAAAGCCCCTCGGCCCCTGGCAGCTTTGACATGAGCCGCTCCAGGAGCGAACCCGCTGCCAAGCCCCAGTAATCCGGCAGGAGCATGTCAGCGAGATGAGCGGGCGGCACAGGCTCAGGGCACGCTTGATGTCCCCTCGCCTGCTTCTCTACGGCGTGACTCCTCCATGCCAAGCTAGTGCCGCTAGACTGTCCATCTGGGTAGCCAGGGCTGTCCCTCCCTGCAGCCCAGTACGTGGGGGTGTCTTGGGGTGACCAGACAGCAAGTGGGAAAAATCGGGACGGGGGTGGGGGGGTAATAGGAGCCTATATAAGAGAAAGCCTCAAACATCGGGACTGTCCCTATAAAATTGGGACATCTGGTCACCCTAGTACAGGGGTAGGCAACCTATGGCACGCGTGCCATAAGGTGGCACGTGAGCTGATTTTCAGTGGCTCTCACACTGCCTGGGTCCTGGCCACCGGTCCGGGAGACTCTGCTTTTTAATTTAATTTTAAATGAAGCTTCTTCAACATTTTAAAATCCTTATTTACTTTACATACAACAATAGTTTAGTTCTATACTATAGACGTATAGAAAGAGACCTCCTAAAAACGTTAAAATGTCTGACTGGCACGGGAAACCTTAAATCAGAGTGAATAAATGAAGACTCGGCACACCACTTCTGAAAGGTTGCCAACCCCTGGTCTAGTATCTGGTTGCATAGCATGGCGCTGGCGTGAGTGGCTAGCCCAGGGCTCGGGGTCAGGCAGGCATGTGCTGGCAGTGAGGGTGTGAATGGCTTGGCCCCTGTAACAAAGTGGGAATGTTCTTAATGTTGTCTCTGAATATGGTGTGGGTGCCTCAGTTTCCCCTTTGCAGTTCTTAGGTATCTAGGTGGGGGGATCAGGCTGTGTAATTGTTGCAGAGCCCAAGTGGGCCCCTGTGATCCTGTCTGCACAGAGAAGGGCCGACTCCCTGTCTCCTGATGGCCTGGGCCCCTCCCCGGCAAAGGTGCCAGCTGAAGGTGTTGGAGAACAAAGAGATCAGGTGACCTCCTGGCCCAGGAAAGAGACAAAGGCCAGAGGAGGGGCTGGAGAGTCTCAGTTTGGAGCTGGCTGGGGAAATGGAGGGAGCCCAGACAGGGCTCTCGCCTCCCTGTGTTATACCAATAAAAACTAGGAGGATCTTATTAAAGGGGACAAGATAAAGATGCCACATTTGTTATGATAATGTGATTTATGACCAATAACTAATATTTTAATCCTTATACACACACCTTGTACCTAATACCCACCCACATCAGATGTTCTGCAGCTGCTGCATAGTTACCAGTCCTGCTTGAGTCCGTGGCTTGAGTTGGCAGCTTGGGTTCGTCGCTTGTG